GGCTGACAGCTACTGAGAAATAAGATGATAGAGTAAATCACAGAGGAGGGAGAAGGATTACACAGAATGACTCTAAAGGGGCATAAATGAAAAAGTGGGATGAACTCCGGGAAGAGGGGTGGCATAGGATAAGCATCAGAAAATATTTCTTAACAGCACTACAATACAAAGTAGAATATATTTTCCCACAGAAAGAGAAGTTATTTAAGGCTAAATTTGATAAAACATTGGAAAGCACAGCAAAGCAAGCATTTCTGAATTTACGAGGTCATGGATGAGAACACTTCATTAATCCTGTCCTTTATGCTTCTCATTATTAGATTTTTGAGCAAGATTTCAGTATAACAAAAAAACACCCAAGAAAAATATGTTCATTTTTTGCTGGGTTCTTGTCTTCATCAGCATTAAGGTCAGAAGTGTTTAGAAGTGCCATTTGTGTTTGATGCAACTATTACATGCTGAGCTATTTAAGAGTGACTGGTAATTTTAATCCCCTATTAGTTATTCTTTTGCCCATAACACAAAATTATTCTTTTAATTCTGGACTTTTATAGTATTTTTATTTCAAGCATTTCATATGTCCACTAAGAACATCTTTAAAAAACCATATGGTGTATAACACTGCCTTTCATGGATCCAGAAGTTATCCTGTGACTGCTGAACTGTCCAGCTCCTTAATTGTCAGGTAACACAATGCCCATTAAGTCCTCTGGAGGACTTAAGTGCCACAGGAAATTAGAAAGTTAAAATTGTGGCCAAGAAGGAAAAGAAAATTCAGTGTTTCTTTTAGCCTGATGCCTGAAGCACAAGAGATCATGAACCAGGAAAGGTTTAGGAGCAGTGGTAAAACAGGTGTTCCCTTAGAAGACCAAGTATTAGAACAGGAAATGCATTACTGGTTGTGTTTTGGTTTTCCTATTCTTACAGTTCTTACAATCTTAAACAGTCCACAACATTCTGCAATTCAGTTTGGAAGGAGATGGGGTAACTCACAAAAGGCTGACTGAGAGAAGAGTTTTGTCACCATTTTTGTCTTCCCTCTGAACTTCCAGTTAGAGCTTTTTCAAATGCACAAAGAATTCAGGAGTATTGCTGAATTTGAAATATGGAAGTATCTCCTCCTAAATAAAAATGTTCTTTTCTACAGGACAACCAAGTAAATACAATTTTTTATTAAATACCAGAGTCAGTCAAGGCCTCCTGATGATACTGTGGAAATCTTAAGTCACCACAAAGAACAGTTAAATTACAGTTTGTTACATTTGTCACTGAAATCCCAAAATTCTTGTGATTTATAATCCTTCTTTTAAAGGTCCTTCTCTACAGTAGTAAAAGGTCCTCCTAGTGTAGGATCTCACTGCACAACCCTATCAAGCGACAACTAAGACAAGGAAAGAAAAGAGACACCACAACACTGCAGCACAGAAAAATTAGCATGTTTTCACAACCTGAAAAACAATTACTAGAAGAGATTATAATATCACAACAATCAATTATCATTCTGACCCCCAAAGAAAAATAATGAAAACCAACAGCAGCATATCAGGAAAGCATTGAACTGTTCAGTGCCATGTCAGGAAGCTGGAAAAATGCACCACAAGAAACAATTCAGCAACAGACAACAAGACATCAAGTATGTCCCAGAGAGCAGAACAGCTCTTTCTTTCCACGCTGGTCCACAGCCCCTGCAGGTACTTCATCCAAATTCCTTTCCCTCCCTCCCCTCTTCTAGCAGCTACACACTTAAATATTCCAGGTACTTATACCATTATATCCTCTCAAAGTGCTTATTCATCCCAAGAGATGCAGAAAGGCAAGGCACATGCCACCTTCCTTCCCAAACCAAAGGCTGAAAGCAAAGACAAATGAACACCCACCAACCCTAAATCCAGGTGTAGTTTTCCCCTCAGGAATGAGGAGACAGTTAATGAAGTGGTTATTGCTGCTTCCCCATACACAGGCTCCAGTGTCACAGGACACACAGTGGTCATTTGGGCTGTGTCTGTCCTTTGAATTCCCTGCAGGCTTGCAGTGGTGCACACAAACAAAGGCCAGCAAAAACACCTGTATCCAGCCACAGCACTGTCCACTTCCTGCAGAATGACACGACTTCTGGGACCATAACCCATTGCTTCCAAGAAAACACAGTAACAAATGCATAAGAAAGTAATTAATTTTTCCGGTTAACACTGCCAACCCAACTGCACAAAGGTGACTCCTTTCTGACAAAAACTGATCTTCCTTTCTTGAGTGCATTAAAGGTTAAGCTAGAAAAGGAGACAAGAGGAAAGAGTCTTCTCCTTTGATAAATTTACTTTACATTTGATCGTGCACTGTATGGGCCTACTGCTTATTCTAAAAATAGGATGTTTCTAGACTTTTTCAAGAGAAAAAAACATGGTAACTTTAAAAAAAAAAAACAAATTAAAAAAACAAAGCTCACAAAAACTGTCTGGGAGTTTCAGGAACAGGATTAGCATCTGAGGCTATCTAAAAAAAAATTACTTTTTAATATTAAATTAATACCGTTCTTGTAAACAAAATTCGCTGAATGCTTTCATCCCAATTACTCCCTCATCTTTTAGAGCTGAGGACTGTACCATGAAAACTTTATCTCCAACAATACCTGAGGACTATTGTAAAATTAGATGGAACATCTGCCACACTCATCCACAGAATGGTATCACATAACTTTGCTAAACTCTCCAACCTAAGCTTGGCTCTGTACATGACAGACCCGTATCATTTTAAGCTGTCTGAAGCCCACCCTCATAAGAAAGGGCAGGGTGGCCACTGCTGCTTTCAGAGAAGGGAAGTCTCTAGACTCAAAGCCAGAGTTCTGCTATAACATGCATTATGGGTGGTGCTGGCCAGCCACCAACAGCTGCAAAGATGGGGAGCACCAGCATCCCAGATGGGCTCTGCTTGTGGCATGGCAATCTGCTTTAACAACACGGCTGGGGCTACAAGGAGAATCTGGTTGGTCCCATCGCAAATGAAGGGCATACTTGCTTTGTATTTCTCCATGTGGGTGCCCTGAATGCCAAGACCTAATCCAAAACACACTGGTTTGTAACTTACAAGGCCTAACTTACATCATGCCTCAGAAGCATGATGCTTATTCCCTACTGTAGCTGTATATGTTTTTCTAAATTTCCTGTAACATTTCTATTTTGTCTTTTGATAAAGAGAATATCCAGAAAATTTTCCATATACAGGAAAATCTCCATTTCCAGAAGCCTAAAAAGGCTGTTAAAACACAGCATACCTGTAAAGGTAAATCTGAAATAAATTCATGTGTCTATACTAATTACATCCAAAAGCACAGAACTATTTTAGTTCTTTGCAATAAACTGTAAATTGCATCAGATGTACAACTGACAGTAATACTCAAATGCACATGCCATAAAACATGAGTTAAATTAGAAGCGGCAATTAAAGCACTTTTGCCAGAGACATGTAGAACATCTACATGATAGTTATTTTAAACGCCTACTACATAAATAACAAACTGTGAAGGAAGTAGGAACCCTGTCATGATACCTGAAAGGAGGTTCTAGTGAAGTGGGGACTGATTTCTTCTGCTGTGCCTGCAGTGAGAGGACCAGAGGAAAGGGCCTTAAACGGAGACAGAGGAGATATAAATTAGATGTTAGGGGGAAAAATACATTGTTAGGGTAGTCAAGCATTGGAATAAGTTACCCAGGGAGATGGTGGAGTTACCATCCCTGGAGGTGTGCAAGAGACTCCTGGATGTGCTGCTGCTGGTGAGATGTTTTAGGGGTTACAGTAGCAGTGCTGGGTGGACAGTGGGACTGGAGACTCAAGGTCTCTTACAACTTTGATGATTCTATGACTCTAAAGAAATTGCTGAAAATTCAAAAATCAGTATTAAATACAGCTGCGGCCTAATACCTGCAAGTTACAAAGTTTATTCTGCAGTGGCAAAACTTTCAGCAAAGGAGGATGGTTGATATGTGGTTTAAATAACAGAATTCATCTCAAAAACAGATATTGAGAGAGGAACATCTCAAACATCACTATAACACAACAGGCCCTGGTACACCAGCACAGATGTACAATGACTGGAGCTGTCTACAGTGATTTCAGAGAATCACAGAATGTTGGGGTTGGAAGGGACCTCTGAATGTAGTACAACCCCCCTGACAAGGCAGGGTCACCTGGAGGAGGTGACAAAGACATGGATCCAGGGAGGTTTTCAGTGTCTCCAGAGAGTGGGACTCCACAAGCTTCCTGCGCAGCATGTTCTGCCATCCTTAATGTAAAGTTGTTTCTCACACTGAGATGAAACTTTTGGGTTCTAGTTTACGGCCACTGCTCGTCATCCTTTTGCTGGGCATCACTGAAGAGCCTAGCATCACCCTCTTGTAATCCACCGTGCATATACTTATAAGCATTAATGAGATCCCTTCTCAGTCCTCTGTTCTCCAGACTGAACAGGCCCAGCACACGCAGTCTCTCCTCATGAAGACATATGTTCCGGACTCCAAATTATCTTCGTGGCCTCTGCTGGATCCTCTCCAGTACATGAACTCTGACTGCAAATGTATCCAGCGATTCCGAGGCAACTCACTGCACGCATCACTTGTTGCTCCTTTCCAGCCCCGACATCCATCTCCCCGCGCCAGCATCCATCTCCCCCCCGTGCAGCACACCGCGCTGCCGCCCAGCACAGCATCTGAGCGCTGCTTTCGCTTTCCCCGTCGCCCGGGCCTTCCCTCCCCGCCTGCGGGCCCTCCACAGCCGCACGGCCGAGCCCGACAGGCACCCCCGGGGCAGTCGCGCCGTGGGATCCCCGCCGGAGCTGCCGGGCAGGCCCGACCCGGCGGGACCCGGGAACCGACCCCGAGCGCCCCGAGCCCTCCGGCTCCCGGGCTGCCCCGGCCGGGAGCCGTTCTTGCCCGCCCCTCCCGCGCCTCGGGCCGCTGCCGCTCCGCGCCGCCACTCACCGCCGGCCCTGCGGCTCCGCTCCGCCGCGGCTGCGCCCGGCGCGGCCGGCGGGAGGGCGGGGAAAAGGGGCCTCGCCGCGGGAGGAGCGGCTCGGTGTCGGCAACATGGCAGCGTCCAGCCGTGCCCAGGTGCTGCGGCTGTACCGCGCCCTGCTGCGGGAGAGCCAGCGCTTCAGCGGCTACAGCTACAGGTGCGGGGAAGGGCTCCGGGGGCGGCGGACGCGGGGATCCCCGCCGGGGCGTGGGGTCCCCGCGGTGCTTGGGGCAGGGGCGCGGGGAGCTGCGGCCTCGGGAGGAGCCGAGCCGTGCCCTGGAGCGACAGCGGAACCGGCACCGGGCCTGCGACCGGCACCGGGCCCAGGCCCTGCTCGGAGCACCGGGAATGGGCAGCCCCTGGACCCTCTGCCAGGCTCCGGACTGCCGCAAAAGCACCAGGGTATGGGCTGTTGGGAAGAAGGGATAGGACAGAGGTTGTCCCAACCTGAAGTCAGAAGTACTTGTGCTGAGTGTGGGCTCCCCTATACAAGAAAGACAAGGAGCTGCTGGGGAGGGTCCAGTGGAAGGCCACAAAGATGAGGAATGGTCTGGGGCATCTCTCTTCTGAGGAGACACTGTGGGAGCTGGGCCTGTTTAGTCTGGAGAAGGGAAGACTGAGAGGGGAGCTCATTAATGCATGGAAATATCTCGGGGGTGGGTGTCATGGGTATGGTGCCCAACTCTTTCGGGGGTGCCTGGCAACAGGATGAGGAGCAAAGACCATAAGCTGAAACACAAGAAGTTTCACTTTAACATGACAAAGAACTTCTTTACAATGAGGATGGCAGAGCACTGGAACAGGCTGCCCATGGAGGTCGTGGAGTCTTCCCCTTTGGAGACATTCCATACCCACATGGATGTGTTCCTGTGTCACCTGCTCAAGGTGACCCTCCCTTGTCAGGATCCAGAGATCCATTCCAACCCTAACGATTTTGTGATTTTCTAATTTTGTGAACCTGATACAGCTCATGTCTGGTCCGTGTGCTGCCCATTTCCTGGCAGAGGAGAGCTGGGGTCAGGCTGCTGCCAAAGCTTGGCACCATGTGCTGTGTCCACACTCGGGATGCAGTGAGGAATCAGAGTTCACTCTTCCTGCCATGCAGGGTGCCAGGTTGCTTGCCTTCTCTTGCTGTTGGTTAAAGGGACACACTGGTTCTTTGGCAAAAGTTAGGTGTAGGCCTGGTCACCTTTAGCTGTCTGCTGTGTTCACAGCGCGTGCTGCTCACCCGTTGCATTGCCCAATGGTAGTTTGTTTACTTTACCACTCAGTTGGACCACGGGAAGGGGCATGTGAGCTACCTGTGCTGTGAATCATCTCTCGGGCAAGAACTGGGAACTGAAGCCTTTAAACTTGCATAACTGTGGTGAGCTCTGTGCTCTGCTAGGCACAAGTATTCCACAAACCTCAAGTGTGAGGGAGTGCCCTGAGAAGGACTGTGGGGCTGAAAATGAACTGGTGCTAATAAACCTTCATTGCCGACTCCACTCAGCAATGTGTGTTTGCATCATGTTCTGTTGCTATCAAGGCTTTCTCCTGCTCCTTGCTGTCCTGAGTTACCCTTGTTCTGGCTAACAAACACAGGATTGCACACAATGGGGATGGCTTGAGATGCGCAGTTGGTGAACAGCTGAATGAAGCTCATGGCTGGGCTACGGCGTATTTTCAGCAGTGGGTTTGTACTTGGGGGTGAGCAGTGAGGAAGTGAAGTCCACAACAAATTTTAAAGGATAGAAATTATATGGTGTGTTTACCATGCAGATCTGTTTTTTTGGCACCATGTCACAGTGCAAGTTGCGCCTTTCCTTAAAGGATAGATCTCTGGTTTTGGTGGGCCTGTCCTTAGATACTATAAAATTAGAAACCTGCTAAAACCTTGTGCTGTGTATACATTTGTGAGCATGAAAAGCCACAGCAGTTTCCAGCAAGAAATGATATCAGCAGCTGTTACATTTAGAGGTCTGCTGTGACCACAACAACAGTTCTGCCTCAGTGTTTACACTGCTCCCATAGGTAAAAGGGACACCCCATTGGCTTCTTGTGTGCCAAGATAAGCAGCCCTGCTGTGTCCTCAGGGCTGCTGTAACGTGATATGGCAGTTCATGGAGATAACCCAAGGACTTTCTGTAAAGAGCTAACTTGCAGCAAAGTAGAAGGTGTTATCGATTATTATTATTGATTCATAATTTCAGCTAAACAGTGTTGGAATACTTTATTACTGCAAATTGGATATTTGTGAGAGGATGTCTGGAGTACGATCAGCTAATTAGTCTCTATTTGCTTACTGTGCTTTTTCTCCTAATTTGGTTGCTCTGGTTTAACTTAGCAGGCAGCTAAACACCACGCCAGTGCTTGCTTGCTCCCTCCTCCCCAGTGGGATGGAGGAAAGAACTGGGGAGAAAAGAAGTAAAATTTGTGGGTTGAGATGAAGATGTTTTAATAGAACAGAAAAGGAATAGATAATAATAATAATAATTAGAATATACAAAACAAGAGATGCACAGTACAGTTGTTGCCAACCCATGCCCAGACAGTTCCTGAACGGCAGCCCCCAGCTGGCTTTCTCCCTGGTGTATATACTGAGCATAACACCCCCTGGTATGGAATAGCCCTTTGGCCACTTTGGATCACCCTGGTTGTACTTTCTGCCAGCTTCCTGTGCCCCCCAGCCTACTTGCAGGTGAGTTGGTGTGAGAGGCTGAAAACTTCCTGACTTATTGTAAACCCTGCTTGCTAAGAGATCAGCATGTTGTCAGCATCACTGTCATCCTAAATCCAAAACACAGCACTGTACCAGCTACTAGAAAGAAAACTGACTTTAATCTTACTTCCCAGACAAAACTAGGACACGTTTTTAGATTGTGATGGAAAATTCAACTTTTTTATGTCTCTCTGAGTAAGTATAGTCCTTATGTCATCTCGTAGCCTCAGATTTTCTTCTGCCACCCAGCAGAACTTGTGTACTAACTGTGAAGAATATCATTCATGTCTTAAAGTAACTGAGGTCACCACTGGCAGCCTTCAGAACAACACAGGAGCATCTCCAGTGTCCTGAAGTAAATGTCACAGAGTGTTGGGACACCCAGAAGTGTAGGCCAGGTTTTAACAGCAGGGAGAGGGAATTTAGCAGACTGTAAGTAATTTCATGTCTGCCCTTCTGCCCTATTACCCAAGCAGACAGTCTGAGCATGGGTGAGTGATTTGCAGTGGAGGAAAATCAATATGCAGAGAGGCAAGATGTTAGGTTTTGAGTCAAAAAAGTGATTTTTAACAAGTGTGCCATTCTGCTTCATTGACGAAAAGTAGAACCTCTGATGGTTTATAATATGTTGGATTCTGGTCTCAACTAAATAGTTAGAAGAGATATTTCTAAATATCATTAGTGATTTAAATAATGGCATGTTGTGAGTAGTTTGGGTACAGAATAAAAAGAATTTATAAATTTACGAAAGCAATTCAAGTACATCTGGTTGTAAATGAGGATTATCAAAACTTGACAATTCCTTGTTTGCTTAATGTGACTAAAGCTCAGTGGTCTTAACACATGGGAATCTGTTGGAAGGGAGTTCTCTCCAGGACAGGAAAGGACTGGAGCAGATCTTCCCTGAGAGTGTTTGTCATCTCCATTTCTGAAGGTTTTCATAATAGGTTTAGTCAAAGAGCACCATGGCTGACCTCCTCTTGTTGCATGCAGGCCTATTTCAAGTGTGCCATTGACCTGGAAAAGCTCCAGAGTCTAGCTGACTAACTTACTATGATTTTCAGATCCCTAGCCTTCCTGGCCCTATGAAGATACTAACAATGGGTAATAAGTTCAGGGTAGCATCATATGGCATGCTTCCAGCTCATCTGCTTTCTGTTTCTTTAATTTTTTGTAGTTATGTGCAATGTCAGAAGCTTTGAGCCTCTCTGTTGGAATTTTTCTGCAAATAATTTTTTAATGTTTTTTAACATCTTTCTTGATTTATTGCAATTTTATTTCAGTTATCCATTATGTTCTCTTTTAAGTGGTGGAAGTTGTATTTTTATTTATAGGTACATTTCTTTCTTGTGTCTCTGAATTGCATTTTAATGGAACTTGATTTTTCTTTTAGAATGTGCAATATTATTGACTAATAAAGCTACCCAGAACATAGAAGAATGAGGGAAGAAAATTTGCCAGAACAAATTTGTCCATTTGTTTTGCATTGGAAACAAGTTAATTGAATGCATGCAGTTTCATCTGAGATAAGTCTTTCAAGATTTTAAAACTGGTAAATCTGATTTTTGCAAATGACTGCTAACCTAGGAACAAAACTGAGCAAAATAATTTGCACTGTTTTTTTCAGTGCCAGTTGCTTTTCCTACTTTAACTGACACAGCTGCTGATCTGATTTTAGGGAGTAATGGAACATAGAACCATAAAACAGTCTCAAGATTAATGCCCCCCCCTTTTTTTTTTTTTTTGGTGGGGATTTCAATTTACCAGATGTCTGCTAGGAATATAATACCACAGAGAGGAAGGAGTCTGGGAGGTTCCTGGAGTGTGTGGAAGATAAATTCCTAATGCAGCTGGTGAGGGAACCAAACAGGAAAGGCACCCCACTGGACCTGTTGTTTGCCAAGAGAAAAGGACTGGTGTGTGATGAGAAAATTGGAGGATGCCTTGGGCACAGTGGTCCTGAAATGACAGAGTTATGAATTCTCACAGAAGTAAGGAGTGGGGATCAGCAGAATTGTCACCTTGGACTTCCAGAGGGAAGATTTGAGCCTGTTTAGGAGACCTGTTGAGAGAGTTGCTAGGAAGACGATCCTGGAGGACAGTGGTGTTCAGGAAGGCTGGACATTCTTCAGGATAGAAATCTTCAAAGCATAGGAGCATGCTGTCCCCACATGGTGGAGGAACCAGCAGGGAAGAAAATCAGCCTGGCTGAAGAGAGAGCTTTAGAGGGAACTCAGGAGAAAAAAAAGAAAAGGTAGTTTACAGAATTTTTGACCTGTAGAGGAAGGGGCAGACTATGCCGGAGAACTCCATGGATGTCATGACGTTATGCAGAGAGAAAATTAGAAGAACCAAACCCCAGCTGGAACTTTATCTGGCTATTGCTATAAAAGAAAATTTAAAAATGTTTCTGTAGATACATCAGCAACAAAAAGAAGGGCTAAGGAGGATCTCCA